GCAAAAGTGTCCCCTTCAAAATGTAGAATGCTTTTATCTCCCAAAATCACACAGAGAAGTAGAAATGAAAATGTTCATTTCAGTTGTAGGCATCTGCGTTATCTTGTTAATTCATTTGGAAGCTGGTCATTGTAGAAGATGTTGATCTACCCATTGTCATAGACTACTAGAAAAAGAAACAAATAAATAGCAATGAGCATAGGTCAGGGAAGACAGGTAAAGTATAAGGAGTTCGCCTGTATGATCCTAAGATTTTAAGATCCTAAAGAGCATATAAAAAGAATACGAAAATCAAAATTAACTTCACCAAGAGAAGCTCTATGGCTGCCCGTGGTGAACATCCGATCTTGCAAATGGGAATTTAACTGATGAAGGAACCCACTTGAGATCTGCAGCAATAAACAACAGTTAAGTAAAACAAACCAAGGAAAATTGAAGAAGACAATGAATAATCAAAGAAAACAATAGAGAAAGAGAGGAGCCTTTTCGAAAAAGTGTTGTTTTGATGCAATAAGGCTTTGGAGGAAAACAGTCAAAGAGCTGCTGTTTGATCAGAGTTTTTTTAAAAAAGAAAAAGGGAAGGCAGCCAATTAAAACTCAACTGGTGTCACAGCAACAATGCATAAGCATGCATTTTAAAGGTTTTTGAGATAAATTGCAGAGATTCCAAGTAACTACATGTCTGCCTTGCAAACTTCCATTTGGTGTGTGGTACAGAGCCATTTCCACTTTTAGATCTGCCTTACTATCATTTTCAGGAAATGGGAACTGAGATTTCATAATTGACACTCTTAGGATGTGAGCATACAGCTGTTAGGCTAATACTAACTGCCAATTCTCTAATGCTTTCATAAGCTGAAGAACTGGATGTTTCTTTCAAGGCTTACAAGCGTCTGAATATCCTCATAGCTGCCTAACAAACAAGAAGGTTCCATATTTAATGGAATTAAGAATGTAGTTTTATGTGGCACACAGCACTTCTGTGTTTGAAGGTAAGGAACAAAATTAGTCTGATGAGTTAGCTTAGATCATCTAATGCAACAGATTATTTTTCTACTTTGTTTTTGTAGAACAAACTTACGATGAATCACCTAATAATTTTTTTCTACCTTCTTGTTCTGTTTATCTGTTTACGATGGACATGTTTTCTCTAGTGTGAATCATTTCATGGCTTTATCCTTTTAGGGCTGGTGAATTAAAATATCTGATCTATGTGAATAGCAAACACTATATTTTTTATATGATACATTGGTATGAAGATCAAGCATGAATATATTTGGGATATCACCTAATCATTATCTTCCTGTAGATGGAGATCATGATCGTTATCACATTGAAGGACTGATGGAGAGTCCTGCAGTGGATGATGATGGGGATTGCTTCTCTCCTTTACTACTAAACACAACGTCTGTCAACATTGAAGTCTACTATAACAAAGCAGTGAACTATACGTTAATGGTCACCTTTGTATCCTTTGTATATCATCCCTCTGCTTTTTGTGGAATCATCACTCTGCTACTTAATCAAATTGTTAGTTTATCTGGATCTGGATTCTTTAACAAGCGTGAATCAGGTCTCTTTCCTTCAAGTTCTTTTGTTAATTCGCCAAATGGAGCATAGCAATACCCAATCTGTAATATTCTTTCCATACTTATATTTAGGTGAAAATTCTTAATTGTTTATGGTATCATTTAACTAAATTACCTCTCAATTTTACTTGTATCAGGGTGCTGCGAAAGTTTCAATCATAATGGTTGGGCAACAGGCTATCATGGATGCTTATCTTTGCCTCTTACATTTGACGGCAGGGATATTAGTTGGTAAGTATAACTAAACGCCAATGTGCCAGTTCACATCCCTTGAGAATTTTATAGTTGATGTTGTATCTTTGTAATGGTTATCATGTGATTAACAAGGGGCAGCCATCTAAAAATTGATTAT